CTATTCTTGATGTGGTTGTGAGCAAAAAGCTTGAATGCTAGAGAGCTTGAATGCAAATAATCACGCGTACCTGGGCCCTAGAGGGTTTTTGCCCTTATATAGTTGAGCTACTGTAGGTCTCACGAAATGATTTTGGGATCTTCAGCCTGAGTAGATGAGATCCGTTTCTGCTTTAGACAAGGAGTAACGTATCAGTCAATGAAGTCTATCGTTACCGCCCGATCCGAGTGGGTAAAGGATAAGGCTTGCCGTTGCCTGACATGATCCTGGGAGGTTCGAAGTCCACTAAGAAGCTTCTGGAGTCGATTACGTGTCACTTCGATTCCTGGGCCCCGAACTGGCTTAGGTGCCAAGGTGACTCTATGCCGAGGTGGCTTTGTACCAAGGTGACCGAACACCCGAGCTYTGAAAACTGTTGACTAGGCTCCTCTTGCTGAGTTGTCATCCTACTGACAGATCACGCCCATGTGACCTTTGCTTACTAGGTCGTGTCAAATTACCCCTCATTAATTGCTCCCCACTACTCGTGCCAGGGGTCCTAACCCGACACAGGGAGTTCATGACGAGCCTAGGTGGATTTGGCATGATGTCTAGGTGGTACGGAGGGCGGACCTTCGGTTGGACTTGTTCGACCATTTGGCTCGACCAGGAAGTGACCCAGATCGCGTATCAGGTACGCATGGATGTCAAGCTGATTATAAACTCTGCGGATGTCAAAACATGCGCTCAACTGATTGCAACCTTAGGTAGTGTGCAGTCGGTTTTCCTAGGAGTCGTTGGATCGCGCAAATCTCAACCATTGATCCCCAGATATAATGGCTATAAATAGGGGCCGAAGGGCCCATTTTATTCACCATAAACCGTGAATCTAAAGTCCTTGAGGTCACATTCAAGTATCCCAGATCGGTGTCAGCTATTCTCGAGTCAGAGGTCATCCTGCTTTCTTCAGTCTTCTTTAGTTAGTTCGTCTTCCTTTACTTTCGATTCCATTGTCCTTTCCATTAGCATGCCTAGTCTTAGTTTAGATAACCTTTTAGATGGGAGCGGTGAATCYGATGAGGCCAAGGTGGGTACCTCGGCACAAACCATGGAGCCTCATCCTGTCGAAGTGGGCACTTTGGCATAGGATGTGGACTCCAGCCCGTCCGAGGCGGACTCACCTCGGCGAGAGTGAGAAGCCTCTGGCAAGTCGACCTCCACCTCACACCGAGGTCGCCTACCGGACAGCTTTGGTCCGTCTACAATGACAACAAACAGGCTCCTATCTTTAGTAGCTCGGTACAGACTCCCTAATAACTTAGTATACAGTATTCCCTTAGGCAACTTTCCTTGGGATCATGGCCATGACGAGATCGTGGTCTTTGAGGAGCAACTCATAGTCGAGCTGCATCTTCCACTCCACCCTTTCATAGTCGAACTCGGTAAGTTTTTTTATATCGCCATAGACCAACTACATCCGAACTCCATCCGTAAGATCGTAGGTACCATTTCCCTTTTCCACGACTATAACTGACCTTTAGACCTCAACATCTTCTCTTCATCCTCTCCATCAAGAAGGACTCGACCTATGTTCTACCCAAGCACAGGTGAAGTTATTACATGTCTCCTTGCCCCAGGTACAAGTTGTTGCACGAGCTCCCAAACAAAGTCCCGACCTGGAAGAGATGTTACTTCGTGGTCTGTACACCGAGGGGAGACCATTCCCGACTCACTAGAGGGCAGCCATCCAGGACCCCAACGTCAGATTGGACCCAAAGACACAGGAGGGGGTCCGATCTTGGGCGAAGCTCGACCTAAAGTTTGAAAACTTTGTAACCGAGGAGAAGCTCGTACAAGCTAGTCTAAGTCCTGGTAGGTCGCCAACCATTGTACTTGTTTTCTTTGTTTTGTTTTACTTTGATGTTGCATCTAACTCGATTCGTCATCTTTTGCAATTGCCATGGCTGACATCCCTGCCGACGAGCTCTTCAGGAGCATGCAGAAGGGGAAGAAGAAGAAGAGGGCCTTCAAGAAGGCTTGCCTSCACACCGAGACCTCCACCTTCGACATCGGCGCCTTCGTCCCCGAGCACCCACCAGTCTCCGAACAGTCTCCTGTGATTGACTTGGTTGAGGAGGACTAAGGCAAGGCTACTCCGCCTCGTGTGACCGAGGAGACCACATCTTCAAAGCCCCAGCACGTGTAGGCGACCACCACTCCGCTGAGTAGTGATACTTCTACTCGAAGCATTTTGACTCCGAAGTTCGGCCTCCTCAAAAGCAAAGATGCGATATTCGCTGAGGAGGTCGCTCGTTGGGCTAACTTACCGGTCACTCAGCTCGGGGCCAGAGCGGCCACACACTGTATGGTGGTAGGTACTCAATCTTTGGGTTAAATTATAGTTAGATTTTTCTCCATACTTAGATTTTGGTTTTTCCTTTGGCAGGTCAACTCCTCGATCTATGCCCTAGCCTACCAGTCCGAGGTGAACTTGAAGCGAGCTGTCGAAGCCGAGGAGTCCTCCCAAAGTGCCCACTCTGAACTCAACTTAGCTCGCAATGAGATCAACCAGCTGAAGAATGACGCGCGACTTTGAAGAGAGAGCAAGAGGTGGAGAAGAAGGAGCTATTGACTCTACTAATGGTGGAGAAGAAAGAGCAAGAGGTGGAGAAGAAGGAGCTGGAGGAGCGCGAGGTGACTTTGAAGAGAGAGAATGAGAACCTTGAGGMGTTGGTATAGGAGCGGACTGAAATTCTAGTTCAGGCAATGGAGGATGCCAAGGTCAAGGTCGTCGAGGAATACAAGTCTTCGGCGGAATATCGCGAGAAGCTGGTCAAGGCCAGAACAGCAGGCTACCGCAAGGTGTTTAAGCTCAGTAGATGGTTGACCCGGTGTGAATTTCCCCACCTCGACCTCAGTGACATCACAACATTCAAGATCACCAAGGAGTTGGCCGTCGAAGCCACTAAGGACCCGGACTCCGAGGAAGAGAAAGACAACGACTTTCTCGACGATGAGACAGCTGGAGAGGGAGAGGGAGCTGATGCTGCCGAACCACATGGAGATAGATCTTTCCACCAACACCTCTATTGGGGATGAGGAGCCCCGAACTGACTAATGCCTCTTTTCTTGGACCCCCTTTGTAAATACTCGACATCCCGAGCCTCCGAGCTCGGATAAATAGTTGTAATCTTTTTGTTGTTGTTTWTTTATTATATACTCGAAGTGCTTTATCAATGGAATACAAGTATTTTGCAAAACACTGTGTGCAAAAAAAAAATTCTAAGTGTAGATTACTCCTGAGCTGACGAGCTTGACTCAAATAGGAATAATCTAATCGTCATTGTGCGCTGGGGTGAACAGACATTGTAGGGTACATGCCCGACCTATCTGTGCCCGGGCTACTTTGCCTTGCCCATGCCRAAGCAATTGGGTTTTAATGAGCCTATGCCGAAGAGGCGACTGAGTCTTAAGCTGCCTATGCCGAAGAGGTGACTAGGACTTCTCTGCCCATGCCGGAGAGGCAATTGGGTCATATATCATGCCGAGGTCTCTTGTCAGCTTGGCACCATAGCTTTTAGGCTTCTAGGAGTGATTTAAGGTCCTCTCTCCAATTCGTCATCCATAGGATCATCTYGGTGATCCTATGGACTTAGTCGTTTTTGCTTACATTGAGGTTTATAGAAAGTATCTCCTTATGTTGTTAATGTTCCAAGCTCGAGGTACCTATTTCCCTTCCATGGTCTTGAGCTCATAGGCTCCTTCTCCGAACACCCGTTTCACCCAGTAAGGTCCTTCCCAATTCAGACCAAGCTTACCCACGCCGGGCTTAGGTACCATTACCTTACGGAGGACCAGGTCGCCAACTCGGAATAGTCACTTCTTGACCCGGGTGTTATAATACTGAGCTACTCGCTGCTGATAAGTTGTAGTTCGAATGTGGGTCAGATCGTGTACCTCCTCAACGAGGTCCAAGTTAGTTCTGAACTCGCTATTGTTTGTCTCTTCGTTGTAAGCTTCGAGCCGCAATGTCGATACTTCAATCTCTACCGGGATCACGGCTTCCATCCCATATGTGAGGTTGAAGGGTGTCTCGTCGGTCGCAGTCTTGATGGTAATCTGGTAGGCCCAAAGGACACTAGGTAGCTCGTCCACCCACAACCTTTTAGCTTGCRCGAGGCGAGCTTTCAGTCCATGGAGGATAGCCCTGTTCATCACTTCGACCTATCTGTTTGCTTGTTGATGTGCTACTGAAGTGAAGTTTTGTTGAACCCCCATCTCGGCGCACCAGTTCTAGAATTTGATGTCCTCGAATTGCTTCCCGTTATCCGAAATCAAGACTTTGGGCAGTCTGAAACGGCACACAATGCTTTTCTAGAAGAAATTTTGCACATTCCAGGCTGTAATGCTTACCAACGGTTCAACTTCCACTCACTTTGTGAAGTAGTACACTACCACGACCAAGAACTTCCTCTACCCGGTTACYGGAGGAAAAGGACTGAGGATGTCAATTCCCCACTATGCAAAGGGCCACAGGCTAGTAAGATACTTCAAATCGGCAACAAGTTGATGGAGGATGTTGGCATGCCTCTAACATCTATCGCATTTCTTGACGAGCTCGAGTGCGTCTGCCTTCATTGTGGGCCAATAGTAGCCCTGCCTTTATGCTTTTTGGGTGAGGGCTCTACCCCCCAAGTGTCCCTCGCAAAATCCTTCATGGATATCGTGAAGTACGAACTCAGCTTCTGAGGGTCGTAGACAACGTAGGTAGGGGAGCGTGAAAGATCTCATGTACAACCATCCGTCTATAAAGACGTACCAAGCTGATTGATGCTCTACCCTTTGAGCTGCATTGCGTTCTGCAGATAGGGTCCCGTGGAGTAGATAATCAACGAGCGGGTTAATCCAACTCGGTTCCGCTTGCAACACGGGAGCAACCACTTCCGCCCCCTAAGAATGTTGGGCCAAGGCAGGTCCTCTATGTACATAGTTTGCATGGTGTTGTCGCTGGTACTTGATAGTCATGATAAGGCGTCGACCTCAGCATTCTCAGACCTCTGAATTTGCCTGATGAAACAAGAGTTGAAGCCTGGTAGGATCTCCCTGGCTTTGGTTAAGTAGGCCGCAATAGTCGAGTCACGTGTTTCGTAGTCACCATTGACTTGGTTAACTACCTGTTGTGAGTCACTGCACATGATGAGATGTTTTGTACCCATTTCCTTCGCTAAGTTTAGCCCGGTAATTAGTGCTTCATACTCTGCCTCGTTGTTCGATGCCTCGAATCCGAACAAAAGAGCATACTCCAACTTCACCTCGCTCGGGCCGTATAGTATTAGTCCAGCACCGCTTCCTCGCTGGTTGGACGAGCCATCTACGTGGAGGATCCATGGCTCCTCGTCCCACGTCAGTACTGCTCTGACTGGGATTGGTGCCGCGTTGGTTGATGCTTCTGACACGTTAGCGGGCTCAGTCGGTTCGGGGGCCGGTGTGCTGAACATACATTATGCTATGAAGTCCACCAAGACTTGGGATTTGATTGCTGGTCGTGGCTCGAACTGGATGTCGTACTCGCTAATTTCAATGGGTACAACTTCAACTCATCTTCTTACTCAGGTCGGGTCAAAACCGGGGCGGTAGTTAGGTACCTTTCCAGATCATAAAACATGAGCTGTCACTCTTCAGTTGATTTGAAAGTTTCATTCTTCTTAATTGCCTTAAAAAAGGGGAGGCACCGACCTGCCAATTTAGACATAAATCGATTTAGTGCAGCTACCTGGCCAGTCAGCTGTTCTACCTCCGTGATTTCCTGGGGTGGTCGCATTTCTAAGATAGCATTGATTTTATCTGGGTTGGCTTCGATGCCATGTCGGTTCACTATGTAACTGAGGAATTTGCATGACGTGACCCCGAAAGCACACTTGTTTGGTTTTAACTTCATAGTGTATTTCCTTATAATTTGAAAAACAACATCTAAATCATTGAATAAAGATCTAGAAAATTGGGTCTTCACAACCATGTCATTAACGTAGCATTCCACTTTATTACCAATCAACGATTCAAAAATTTTGTTTACAAGTTGCTGGAAAGTTTCTCCAGCGTTTTTCAAACCAAAGGGCATAATTTTATAACAGTACAACCCGAGTTCGGTTACAAAAGCAGTTTTATCTTGGTCGGTTGTGTCCATCCTAATTTGGTCGTAGTCGGAGTAAGCGTCCATGAAACTCAGCAACTCATTCCCTGAGGTCGCATCAACAGGCGGTCTATTCTGGGCAAGGGGAAGAAATCCTTTGGATAGGCTCTATTTAGGTCGGTGTAGTCGATGCACATGTGCCACTTGCCATTAGCTTTCTTTATAAGCATGAGGTTGGTGACCCAACTCGGGTAATGGACCTCCTTGACGAAGTCTGCGGCGAAGAGCTTCTTGACCTCCTCATCGACTACCCTCCACCGCTCCGGGGCGAGGTTGTGTTTTCTTTGTCTATCTGGCTTGACTAAAGGGTGCACATTAAGCTTACGAGTTATCACACTAGGGTCGATTCCGAGTATTTCTACTGCAGACCAGGTGAAAACATATAAATTATTAAGTAAAAAACTTACTTGCTGTGTTCAGAGCGGTTCGCTTATCAATGCACCGATCTGGAGAGTCTTGGTCGGCTCGGTTTCAGAAACCAGTATGTGGATCATCTCTTCTATCGGGGCAGCTCGCTTCTTCGTGTAGTCTACTGGTTGCTCCAGTTCGATGTCTTCTACCAGTTTTGCCTTTCCCTTGAGGGCAGCCACGTAGCACTGACGGGATTTGAGCTGAACGCCTTGTATGACCCCTACTCTGTAATCTGCCAGAAACTTCATCACGAGATAGTAAGTCGATACTATCGTGCGTAAAGTGTGTGTAATGGGCCGACCTATAATTGTGTTGTAGGGGGACGGAGTTGTGACCACCAAGAATGTGTGCTCGAACCATACAATATTCAGCCACGTGCCCGCCTCTACTAGTATTGTGACCCAACCTATAGGCCTAACTTCTTCTCCGCTGAGCCCTATTAGTGGGGTATCCACTGGTTCAGATTGCTTTGCTATAATTGTAACTTGCCAAAGGTTCCTTTAAAGAGGATATCAGCCAAACTACTTGAGTTCACCAAGATCCGCTTCACCTTGAAGTCATTGATGATCAACTTTACGACTAGGGCATCATCATGAGGATACTGAATCTCATGAGCATCGTCCTAGGTAAAATAAATGGGTTCTTCAATCCGAGGTCGCTTGGGTGGGTTCTCTACCTTGTGCTCTAGTTCTCGGACTGAAGTCTTTACTGCTGCTGTTGTGCACCCCGCTACAATGGATCCTCCAGTAACCATATTGATCACCCCATGGATCGGTCTTTCTTCTGGTAGCGGGCAAGGTGGCTGCTCGTTTTTCTTGTTGGTTTCCGGGGTGTCTTTCTTCTGATCTCCCTGTCGGTCCCCCTGTCCTTTCTCCTCATACTAAATGTATTTCTTCAAGTACCCACGGAAGATGAGTTCCTCAATCTCATCGCGGAGGTTTCTGCAGTTCTCCGTGCTGTGACCATGRTCCTGATGAAAGTGACAATAAACATCCGGGTTCCTGGTCATTAGGTCTCCCAATAGCCTATGTGGCCATCTGACGATGGAGGAGTCTTTAATGGCCATCAAGTTCTCTCCTAACTTCGCATTAAGGGGAGCATAGTTGGTTCTCTCCACTGGTAGGGTTCTGGAATGCCGACCCGACCTATAAATTCGTGAGGGGGACTTACTCCTCAAGCTTGGGGASTTGCTCTTTTTCCTTTTCTACTTGTTGCTTGTTCCTTCTTCCTCTCTCTTTCTCTTTTCACCTTGTTGGTTGTCGGTCTTCTGGTTTATTTCCTCTTCTGTACTGATGAATTGATTGGCCAGCCTGAGGAACTCGGTGATGTTTTTCGGCTTGTTTGCCACGACGTGCCACTTGAACTCCTTATGAGTAATTCCTTTATGTGTTGCGGTGAGGCGTACTGCTGGATCAAGGTCTGATATCTATAGGCATGTCTCGTTGAAGTGCTTAATGTAGTTTCGAATTAATTTCCCTTCCCTCTGCACCACGTTCAGAAGGCTCTCCTACAACTTCAGGCATTTCTTACTGGTGATGAAGTGGGCCGTAAACATGTCTGCGAACTGCGCCCAGCTTCTGATGGAACCTGRCGTGAGGTTTCTATGCCAGGTCCGAACTACTCCTTTGAATGTGGTGGAGAAAGCCACACACATGCATGACTCGCCAGCCCCGCATTGGGGTCAAAAGACCTATCACACTTGTCTAGTGGTAGTACCTTGAAATCTTTTGGCATTGGGGCCGCCAGGAGTTCGGGTGACAGGGTGGATGGCTGGCTCAATAGAGCAGGCGCCATTCTCGTGGCCACCGAGCTTACCTCTTCTCTTTCTCAGCCTTGATCTACTGGATGACTGGGCTTCACTGGTGGACTATTCCTTGCTAAGGAACTGCGAGTCTTGCGACGTCGCCGTTGTTGCTTCTTTGGTGGTTCAGCGTTTGTATTGCTAGCCTCAGTGTTGTCAGGTATCTCGATCTTGCTTCAAATGGTGGGGCGAGGTGGTTCAGGGGTTTTTCTCGCCGCTTCTTCTTCACCGCATGTCCGRTGTTGGCTGTCGTGGGGAACTGAGGGGTCTCCTCTCGAGCCCGCGCCTCAAGGCCCCGATCTGACGATTAACATTATCTTGACGTGGGAACTGCTATCCTTAGAGTTCTCTCTTTGGGAAGCAAGGAGAATACGCTAGTCACCTATATACCCCATGGCGGGGTCTGTCCCGAGGGAGGGACCGGTACCTGTAAAGTTCTCTCACTATGGGGAGGAGACTGGCAGACATTCTGATGAGCCCGGTGCTGATTCTGGTTTTGAGTCTGCCCTTGATGTTGATTTGTTGGCTGGTTCGGTTACAGTGCTGGGAACTGCTGCTAGTACTGTTGATAGAAATAATACTGCTGAAATTGCTGGAATTTGTGGATCTATTGCATTTGAATATGCATCGTYCGGACGCTTTGGACGAGGTCATTAAACTGGGAGTGCTCGACCCCGGGGGAATCACAGAAGGCTCCGAAAATGTAGTGCTCACTTGGGGGAGCGGGACACTCACCTGTTGGGTAGTGTGCGACACAGACAGTGATGGAACCCTGAAGACAGTCAGGGGGATGGTGAACTGGCCGATGGTCACCGAGGAACCCTTGGGAGTGACTGTTTGCTGCTCTTGCCCCGTAGTGACGTTCATGTCGCTCTTTCCGTTGTGGCTGGACGATGCCATTGAGGCTGAGATTGGGATTGAGATTGTGACTAGGATTGGGATGACCTTTCGATCGTTCCCACAGATAGTGCCAATTGATGATGTGCGATCTGAAAGCTCATAGCTGGAAGGTTGCCTAGACATTGTTCGCGTGGCGAGCTGGATCAAACTGCAAAATAGAGATAAGAGAGATCAGGGTGGATAACGTGGTGAGGTCGCTCCAATGCTTAAGTTAGTATTCTTGATATGGTTGCGAGCTAAAAGCTTGAATGCAAATAATCGCACGTACCTGGGCCCTGGAGGGGTTGATGCCCTTATATAGTTGAGCTACCGTGGGTCTCATGAAACAATTCTGGGATCTTCGGCCTGAGTAGATGAGATCCGTTTTCGCTTTAGACAGGGAGTAACCCAGTCAATGAAGTCTACCGTTATTGCCCGATCTGGGTGGGTAGAGGATAAGGCCTACTGTTGCCCGACGTGATCCCGAGAGATTTGGAGTCCGCTGAGAAGCTTTTGGAGTCGATTACGTGTCACTTCGATTCCTGGGCCCTGAACTGGCTTAGGTGCCGAGGTACCTCTATATTGAGGTGACTTTGTACTGAGGTGACCGAACACCCGAGCTCTGAAAACTGCTGACTAAACTCTTCTTACTGAGTTGTCATCTTACTTGCAGATCGCGTCCGTGACCTTTGCTTAATAGGTCGTGCCAAATTATCCATCATTTCCTTACTTTTTTTCTTCAAACCAAACACAGCCTTAGTGTTTGATCATTCCGATCAACCGAGGAAAAGGCTTGTGGTTGGCGGTTGCCACACCCCGTTAGGATTCCAGCTTCCTAATCCTGGAGCGGACTGCGGACACCCATAAGGCTTCCTAACCATGTAGCGGGAACTAGAGCTATACTACATACACCACACCACCAATTGCTTTCAACGCGAATTTCCATGAATGGGTCCCATTCCTTCATAATTTCTCTAAAGATGAGACACGTGTTTATAATGCCAAATTTAGCACAGAAAAGAATACATCAGTAAACCACCGAAAACGTTAGGTGGCACGAACTACACGAGGACGTTACGTAACGCAGTGGTACATTTTAGCCAGGGCCAGTACAATTTATCCATCCTGTGCACCAAGGTGGGCAGTACCCTCCTCTCTCCTCTCCCAAACGCTCTCAGCCTATCAGATCCAACACCCTTCTCTCTTCGTCGGGCGTCTCTGAGGCTCTGACTCTTTCCTTTTTCCCTTTCTGGCTCTCATGTTTCCACGTCGTACAAACCCAACACCTTCATTGTACGATAAATAACACAAATAATGCATTCACTGGAAAACTCTACGATCACTCCACGTGGAATTTTCTTTCTGATCCGCGATTGTAAATACAAAGTCAGTCTTGCTGTCACTACATGCACACAGTACTGTATCGGACCGCTTGGGAGGTGAAGCGGTTTCCTATGTGGATGGCAAGGTTAACGTGGCGTGCTTGGGTAGATCGGGTTGGGAGGAGGCGAGGTTTAGTATGACGGGGATGACACGTGACAATCGAATAGGATATAGCTTATAGGTGCGATCAGTCGCATTTTTTCTTTCTCTTTTTTCCTCCTACGGTAGGAGGAGCGACTGAGCCAGAGCTTCTTCGCTTCTATTGCTTTTTTCGTCTACTTTTTATCACTCTTCACTGACTCTATCACTATCTCTCTTTGATGGCTTTGGAAGAGGAAGTGCAAAGGGATGAAATTGGGGTTCTGTTGCAGAGGGTAAGCTCTGACGTCGCGGAAGACAGATTATCCGGTTCTTGCTCATCGTCGTCGTCGTCGTCGGCGGCGGTGGCAGAGGCGGAGGCGGAGATGGAGAAGACGCATTCAGGTAACGGTTCAAAATGTAGAGTGGACCGGATGGTGAAGATTGAGCTCGATGCGGCGCGAGCTTTAGCAGATTTTGCGCATTTAGTGCGGCTTGAGAGCGAAAACCCTAGCGGTGAATCGGGCGGGAAGTGGGGGAATAAAGGGAGGAGGTCGAGGAAGAGAATTAAGAGTGAGCCTCCGGCGAGGGACTTGGGGAGCGTGAAGTTTCAGTATTCTAAGGTTAGGTATTTCGATCCTGTTCGGGTTTCGTCGGATCTTTTCCTTGGGCCTTCTTTGTTAAGTTCTTTTGATATGTTTTTAAACTGTTTTGATATGATTGGATTTGCTTTCTGTATATATTCACTATGGTTAAGTTGAAACTCTCGGACTTGTGCGATAGCTCTGATTTTGCAGGTTCTCTATATGTTCTGATGGAGATTCCGTGGTAGGTAATGAGAGGTAAAAATGGGTCCGGTTCTTGTTCTAGGCACGTACGCGGGGATGGGGAGATTGATCATGTGCGTGGAATTAATTCCATTTACCTTCTTTCCAATTTAGCTTGTTCCATGCTTTTTTTTGGTTCTCCTTTTTGTTTCGATGATAATGGAATTTCTTGTCTCCAATGTCCAATCCATGCTAATGTGCTTTGTTGTCTCGACCCAAGTAATTATTGAATGCTTGCTGGTATATTTGAGTGTGGGCTATGTGAGTTAGTGATTTAAGACTAGTGCATCAAATTGGCAGCCACTTGGGGAACATGCAGATTTTAGATGAAACCTAGACCAAAATGAGAGGACATTTTAATTATATTAGATTAGATATAATTGCCCATAACAGAAAAAGAAAGAAAGTTAACTCTAACTGGGTAACAAGTCCTTTTCTCCCGATATAACTGATCAAAAGAAACACAAACATGATACTGAGAGAAACGGAAAGTCTGGATTGGAAATTATCGAATGATATCATCCATGATTTTAGTTAAGAGTCCTAAGGGCACAGGGAGTTTAATTCCCTGTCCTTGATGGCTGCTGCTGTATCTTAGCGACTTGTGCTTATCACATTTTAACCACACACTGGGTTAGGCTGAATACGCAGAGAGAAAAAGAAGATTATACTCCTTAATCATTTACCATCATACATCAATGAGCAACTGTAACCAGAGTTCAGACAAGGGCGCAATTGGGGGATCCAGGCCCCAGGGCTCTGTTGTAAATCTGTAATTCCTGTTTTGTATGTTTCTTTTTTTGTCAGCATTATGCTGTTTTGTTTGTCGTGTTCCTGCTGCCTAGTTTGGAGTTTGGACAGGCAAGGATTCCTTCACTTTTTTAATAGAAATTCTGTTAATTCATCAAAAAAATGCAAGTGTATATGATATATTGAATGTAATTCACCAATATGCCTTATTGATAGTGTTGACGTAATCAATCCTCTTAGCTTGTATTTCTATGTATAGAATTGACATTATCTTTCTTTTATCACAGGATGATACTATGTTAGATCAGAGGCATCATACCCAAAATGCCATAATAGAAACAGTAGAAAGAGTGAAGGTTGAACAGGATACTGGAATACCTAGATCAAATGCTATATTGTCCACAGGTTGTGCATCATTTGTTAGAGGCAGGTCAAAGCGAAATTTGACTGAGGTACTGAATATTTCTAGTTCTCACACATGAAATTCTTCCAATATCCCATACTTTCGGCTGAAGCTAGCTCCATGCAGGCTGAAAAGGAAGCACGGAGATTACGTAGGGTATTAGCAAATAGGGAATCAGCTAGGCAGACCATTCGCCGTAGGCAGGTAGATATGTGCTCATTCAATAATAATATAATATTTATGCTCCTTTTAGGAATTTCTGTTTCGCTTGTTTGGTAGTATTTTGTTTTAATTTGGTAAATAAGGTAATGGTTTTTTTGATGAATAACTAACAGAAATGTTATTAGTACATGCATTAGGAAGAAATATACTCATGCCCCTTACAGAAATTTCTGTTTCACATGTTTGGTAGTATTTTGTTTTAACTTGGTAAATAAGGTAATGTTTTTTTTTTTGGTTTTTTTATGAATAACTGACATAATTTTATTACTATATGCATTGGGAAGAAATATCCAATGGGATTGTTATCCACGACTAACATTACCAGATAAAAAAGAAACAGAAAAAAATAGCGAAATAGCAGTACAGTTACACCACCCGACTCCAAAACAACCTGTCCCTTGTGACCAAGGTTTAAAATTTCGATACGACACGCCCGATACAGGGCATATCATATCGTATCTTTGAAAAATCGATACAGGATATGCATGGAAATCGGATGTTTTGTCTTTTTTCATGCGTATCGGACCCGTATCGGGGGTGTATCGAGGCATATCGAGGGCGTATCGGTAGCGTATCGACGAAAAAGATACAACCAAAAACTAAAAAAAATTAAAGGGGGAAAGCAAGCTTCTTTTCCCCGAAATGAGCCTTCTTTCACCCCCAAGGCCCCAAATGACTCTAAAACTCCAAACTTCATTCCTTGAGTGCTAGATTTGCAAAAGTTTGCAAGAAACAAGTGTGAATCATTAATTTTTTAAAAAGATTTTTCAAGTTTTGAAAAAAAAATGGCAAAAATAGGTAAGTTTTATCAATCTTTTATAATATCCTGTGATTTCTTTTTTTTCTTGAATGTTTAAATTTATGTTGACCTACATTTCTTACATTCAAAATCACAATTTTTTTTTTGTGTTATCAGTAGATTTATGGAAATTTCATGAAGATATTTGGAGAAAATATTAACTAACAAAAAATTTGAAAATGTAAATTTTTCTCTGCCTATAAAGACTAAATATGTTTTAGATCTATGGATTTATCTATCATATCCATAGAGCAATTGAAATTTCTTCTTTAATATTTTTTTTTTGATTTTTATATTTTTAGAATTAAAAAATAAATATTAATTAATTATATTTTTTCATTTGATCACAACAATTGAATATATTATAATTCTATGGATGATCTATCACATCCATAGACCAATTAAAATTTCTTCTTTAATAATTATTTTATTTTTATTTTTATATTTTTAGAATTATTTGATCACAATGATTGAATATATTATAATTCTATGGATGATCTATCATATCCACAAAACAATTGAAAATTTTTCTATAATACTATTTTTTTGAATATATTATTTAATGTTTATATATTTTTTATAATTTTTGGGAATAAATAATAAATAATAATTATTTAAATAATAAATACTTATTAATTATATTTTCACATAGAAGTTGTGCCAATGCATGTTTTATGGTTTGATAGGAGAGTTGAGTTTTTCTCATCCCGTAAAACATTAAAACTTAAAAATTATAATTTATAAATTATAGTTAAGCATAGGATTTTTAATGAAATTRTAAWTARMTAYAATRTAYTTCTTCATAAAACCATTAAAATATATTAATTTAATGTATACACACCTCATTGAGGTCTTATATTTAGTGTTGTTGATGTATTTTTATGATTTATTAAAGTATTTATAGTGTTTCCAATATGCGTATCTTAGTTTTTCTCTGGTAAGCATGTGTATCCAAGGCGTATCCTGATACGTCTCTTAAAATTGCCTTTTCAATACACTTGGCGTTTCTAATACTTTGAACCTTTCTTGTGGCTCCATGTTTTACCAATACATCAGAGCAACCCATATGCAGATCTTGGAATCGATGATACAATTACTCCTAGATCTCTCTTTCTCTCTCTTACACACACACACACACACTAGTCACTACATATCTATACTTCAAAGGAACTGGTTCCCCCTAATCCAGCATACTACTACCTTGGAGTCCCTTTCAATGGTCAGATTTTTGAGATTCATGGCTTTGGCTTGTCTCACCCCATCCAAAACTACCCACATCTCTGATTTTCAGGGAGTCTCCAACTATGGAATCTGGGAACAAAGCCACAATATTTCCTTCATCATTTCTAAAAACCCCTCCAATGCCCACCAAGCCAGGGTTTCCTAGGTTGCAACTATCAAAGTTCAATTCCACGAACATGAACTTGGAGAAGTCCATCTAATAAGGGAGGAGTTTTAATTGTAGAAGAATAAGCCACTATGTTCCAATTTTTTATGATATCTTCTGTAGAGAAAGGAGAAAAAACTCCAATTACTTCACCCAATGTGCAACTTTGACTTATATATTGTTTAATAGACTTCTCCTTATTGTTGAACAATCAGGAGTTTTGTTCCTACCAAACCACCCATAGAACCACTGTTTTTATGCATCTCCACATGATTTTGCTTCATCTTTTGGGTGGACTAAAATGTGCATTCGAAAAAAGAGGCTTCTTAGATCTGTCGGTGCTGTCCATTTACATCCAAACTGTGAAAAAAGTTCCTCATAGCATTCACTAATTGGTAGGAGATTAGTAAGTGAAATGTTTTCTCCCCATTTGCTTTGCAGAGAAGACATTTGTATGGAGATAGGTACCAAAAAGACTTTTTCCTTTGCAAATTCTAACAAGTATTGATTCTATCATGGTAGACCTCTCAACAAAAGCCCTGATTTCAGGTTGGACAAGTCCTTTCCAGATGGATTCAAGAAGGAAGTTTTGGATTTCTAGAGAGGGCTTTGCAAAAGGAGGCACAAGAGAAAGAACACAATGGTTCTAAGGTCCAGATTTGTATACAGAGTGATAGGATCAACAAGAATATTTCCAAGTAAATTAATCAAGGGAATAATCTCCGAAGTTTGAAAGTCCCTGATTCCCCTTCTCAAACCCAAATTCCAAATCACACCATGAATAGACATGGAAAAGCAATTGGAGACCATATAATCTTTATTCAAGGCAAGAGAAAAAAATTGTTGGAAACAAATCTTTTATAGGTTGTTCCCCTCACCAAATCTTTCAAGTAAATTAACCAAGGTAATGGTTTATTAATTGAAGAAGAAAGTGGGTCCATGTACAAAAAGTATTGTATGCTGGTATCCACATGCACATGATAACCTATATAAAGAACATTTTATAGATCAAAGGAAACAACTCTGCCAAGCTCTCATGAATATGGATCTTGATTTGCCTTTTCGTGCTCATCTAAGGTGATGTAACCGTTTTTGGTCACGTACCATTTTTTGGGATGTGTAAAATTTTTTGGCTAAGTACCTCGTGTTTGACCTGGTGGTGACGTGCCTTGGTGATGAGCTACTTGGTGGCGAACT